TGTGGGGGTGCTTTAACTAAAGCTAGTTCAACAAGCTTTGAAGAAGTGCACCTGCCATCATTCTGAAGTGCAGGGACACTGAACACACACAAAATGTGGAAGCTGCTGGAGCATACCAATTAGTCAATTAATCAAGTCTGTTCCCACACATGCCAATTAGCACACAAAGCAGATGTCCAGCCCCTGCATAGGTGGCCTTGGAGTCCAAAGGAAGGGACAGCTGTAACATGGATGAATACAAAATTTAGCATACCTGCCTCCTAGCGTTGAGAAATGCAAAAGCATGTTTCCATCTCATACAGATTTTTTCAGTGTTTCTACTCTGTAGACTTGAGAAGACAGCAGATTCAGAGCAGACGAAATGCTCTCAGGATAACCAGCTGAAGTCTTTGAGCCATTTTACGCTAGGAATGGAAGTTAGACACAGGCACGGAATATAATACTCATTGCCCTTGGCTCACTGCAGATTTGCTTAAAACTTCCGCAACTCCTTGGTTGTTTCAGAAACACTCACACTTAGAAAGTGAGCCGTGTACGTTCAGACAGCTTTACTTGCATATAAATAAAATTAAGCTACCATTGACAGGAAATTCAGAACCAGCCTACATTTGCCTTGCTACCTGTTAGCAGATGACGCTTTCCCTGAAGGTGCTGGTATAGTCCTGTGTATACTGATGTAGGAGGTACACTGCACCATTTAATAATTTTGCACATAAGACAGCCCTGAAACAGATACCAAGACAGTGTTAGGACAGCTCAGTCACATGTACTGCTCAGGGATAAGCTATCCCTTTCACTCTACAAGTGCCTTCTACTGCTCTGCCACCATGCAGTAGGGCTCAAGCCAGCTCATGACAGGAAGCCATTCAGCATTTTGGCCCTTATGTGGTGCTAGATACCAAAACCCATAGGCCAAAGCACAGGTACAGAATTAACTTAAAATAGGTAGGGTTCACTTGGGAAGAAACTAAACTTAAGTGCTAGAGCCATATCTAATTTTTATTTGTCAGCCTTTACATGGAGAACAAAGGGAAAAAAGTGCCAGTCACTGGTACACTGCATAGGAAGTATTCAGGTTGGTCTACAGGCAAGCAGTTTTGCTACAGCAAGCCAACTGTTCAGCCCCATCCTAGCCTGATGGCCCCTCATTATAGTTCGCAAGAATTCCAGTATACCCCTTGGAGTCTAGCATTAAAGTGCTGCCAGGACTTTCTCCATAAAGAGAGCATCTTATTCATTTCAGCCACTGTAGGTCAGTATAGAACTCTCTAGCATGGCAGAGAACAAAACAACTCTTCCTTCTGTTAATCTGGGAGTGAGGAAGGAAGAAAGAATGCACATGGCAAGCCATAGACTTGATTCAGAGAGGGGAGGAGCTGAAGAGATGCAGAACCACTTGTCAGGTGTTGAGATTCTTCTTCCTTCAGAGCTGGAGATATGGAATGAAAGCAGCAGTTTGGTACAGAATGCTGCAGGTTTCTGGAATGGAGCCCAAAGGCTTTTTTCCCCCCTTATGGAAAAGGAGTGTTGGCAAGTAGAAGGGGAAGCCAGCTGTAGTATTTTGATAGTCTTTGCTTGCTCGCCTGTAGGATTTCCAAACTGATATCCAAATTGCTCGTGCTAGTGAGAATGAAATCTTAATTCAGTCCTTCAGTTGAGAAACTTCATAGAGGTAAGCTCCAAGCAGCTTCACTCCCTGGATGTAATTGTACCTAGAGAAAAATGAACATTTTGCATTAGAGCAAGTGTCTGTTCTCATACACAGACACTGTGGTGAGCCAGTATTTGGGACATCAGAGCATTCAATACTAGTCCCTTCCTGCCTTAGGAGCTGCCAAATCAGGTCTGAAAGATGTTTAGCAAACAAAGCCAAGAGAATGCCCGAGTTGCAAGCAGGTATTGGTAGCTAGTATTTGGCCGAGCAAGGCACCGGATATTCAGTGATCATCACCTGCTGGAATTCACCATCCAGCGCAAG